ACCAAGAACATAGAAAGCAAAATATACGCGTTAAAAAAATACATCTCAGGTTAAACAAATTTTTGTGCGCAGTCACGTGACTTTTTCCATTCTAAATTCAATTGAAGTCATATGTTTCACAACATAAAAAATATCAACGATCGATTTTGTCACATGTGATAAAACGAATGTCCACTATGCTCAGAATTATTGGATTATTCTACAGATTTTGAAGAAAGTTATGAAACCCAGTAATAGATGTGAAGCAGCAATTCCTACTAAAATTTTGCACACAAAAATTAAGTACCCAACCAAGAAACATGATTTACAATGTAAAAAAATATTTAAAATTAAATTTTTGATTTAATTAAATCTAAATAAAATTGAATTTTATATTTTCATCATCTTTATCACAATTTGACTTTTGACTTTACCCTTTGTCACTTTTTGTCACTTTTGTCACATGTGCCCCATTTGACAAAATACTTTTTACACTCCAAAATATTTTCATTGCCCAACCTTGCTTCTAATATGACCATTCAATACCTGATGAATTAGATGATCAAGTTTTGCCTAAATGAAGAAATAAAGCAATATATCAATGTAAGAAAAAAGATATATTTGTCTAATTTTTTTCCTATTCTAAATTCACAACATAAAAGCATTTGATTTTGTGATAAAATAAATGTCCATTATTATTATGCTCTTGAAAGTGCTTAAAAATGGGATTTCTCCAATTCAAATCATATAACCAATGTAGGGTGTTTGGATAATGTTGAGTGTAGAGCCTTTTTTTGTTGACTGATTTTCTAAATAACAAAATTTGTTATATGGAAAACTTTACTTAATTTTATTGCATATCATAACAAATAAAAATGGGGCATGTAGATCAACTTATTAATGTTTAGATTTAAATAAAGTATTCAGGCACGATTCATTTTTTATTAAACAAGCAGGGTCTAATATTTTCACCATTTATAATCTACATGTTATAAGATAGCATTATGTAAAAATACAATCAAGTGATTTTAAATCTATGTTTTATATTCAATAAATAATTATATTCAATTTTCTCTACAACAAAATTTGCTGATTCCCAATTAAACATTTGCTTTGTCCATCATGGGCATTTTACAATCAAAAGATAAAGGCATCTGGGACAAGTCTGTCAATTTAGAGTGATCTAAAACACAAGATGAAAACCTAATGGTCAACACCATGTAAATACACTCAGTGGACAAAAGTTTGCATCCAAAATATCTTTTGAATTTATTTCAAAATTATACTGATTAAAATATTGTAATCTCTATATCATTTGAAAGCTCTTGTTCTTAATAATATGTTCATGATATTAAATTTTGAAGTTTTGTTATGAAAAAGGACAAAAAATAAAAAATAAAAAATGATGTAAAAAGAACTGCAAATTGACTTTTTCTGAAAGATCACAAATTATTGGCCTTTTAAAAGGTGGTCATACAAGAAAAGAAATTAGTGACATTCTTGGTTTTCCACTTTCAACTGTTAAAAGTACAATCAAGTATGCTAATTTTCTATTAATTAGTTTATCAAATTGGCCTCACATATTACTGTATCTTAGAATAAGCATAAATAAGAAAAAAGTGAAATTAAGGTATGAAGCAAGATGTCTAAAGAAAAACTACATGTAGAAAAAAATAATTAATATTAGACACTCTTTGTTAGTAAGTATTTTTATAACAACAAACATCAAATGCATTTACCTACTTTCATTATATCTTTGTTTAACCAAGTCATTCATGTAATGTTTTGAACCATTTATGTGCCAAAGCTTGTTTACAATTATCAAATCTCTGTTGTTTCAGATATTCACAAAATTCTTGTGCATTTGAAGAAAGATTGAATGACAATTGATCAAACAATTTACCAACTAAAAACAAATCACATTTTCTGTTGTAACCATTATGTGCATTTTCTGGCCAATGGTCCAGATGAAATCTGGCTGTCTGTCCATTTTGACCCATGTGTTCATAATCAGCTAGTAACCAATTATTATTGTTCAACAATATGTTGTCCCAACGCACATCCCGATGTACTAGGTCTAATGACATTAAATTTTCATAAATAGATATGCAATTTATCAAAACATACAAAATTCAAACATTACCTCTTTCATGAAGAAGATCTAGGGCATTAAGCATTGCTGAAATAGCTTCACATAATTCATGTTCATCATTTGGTAACCGTTTATGACATACTGGTGTTAATTGAACAGAATAATTTTGAATAAGTATCCCCTTATTATTACGTTTGCTAGTGGTTTTTAATTGTGGTCCATGCTTAGAATGTATTGAATATTGTGAACTTGACATGACTGCATATGCTTTTTTCAAAGTTTCAATACCACTATAGCTGATGAAGAACAAAAAAGTGTTATTATCATTAGTTCATAAAGTTACTTTTGTCTTTAAATTTTCTTACATGTATTCATTGAAGTTCTTTATTTCCTTTAAAACTGTATCTTCTGATACTATGGTAATATATGTACCATAATTTCGTTTTATTTCCTTATATAAAGGAAGGCCATGTGCAACAGGCAGGAAGTCATGAATTGTGATAAGCAGGCGAAATATATTAAATGATGAAATCAAAACCTATTACCAATATTAGTTATATATTTTGAAATGTATTCAGATAAATAGTATTTCTGATCCTTACATTAATTTCACCTAAGGGTAATGTCAAATCATATTTGTCACTTATTGGTATTAGTTGCTTTTTATTTGTTATAGCAAAAAACTGAAATGATTTTCCTCCTGCTGCATAGGAAAGGAGATATGGAACTGTGCCATAAAATGAACTGTTCCAACTACCCATCTTATCTAATAATTCTTCCCTTGCTGCAGAAAAGTTTGAAGAATGTCCCTTTTCTTCTCCCTTAAATACTAAAATATCATTTATCCAAGCTAAAAAATCTGGACGTTTATTCTTTACAGTTACATCAGTATATTCTTTAACATTTCGATTTATATCTATTGTGAAATTGATTCCCTGTTGTTAAAAGCAAATTAATTATTAATCATATTATTATGAAATACTTTATAGAAGCAGAGAATCTCATTATCTATACCTCTTTTAACAAGTCCCAAATATCTCTGATCAAGTTGTCATATTTACCCACAAGAGCAAGTTCTGACCCAAAGTGTGTCTGACCCATTGCAGACTCACACCTAGATGATAGTTTATAGGCTGTTTTATTCTGTTCATCTTCATTTTGAAAATAATTATCCAGTGCTATATTTAGGTTTTTCCATTCACTATAAAATTGTTCATGAATTGGTATCTTTACATTAAATCCCTTCAAAAGCATATCTTTCAAATCATGAACAGATGGTAATTCATCAAGTTTTGTGCAAAATGATTGAATTATATTCTGTCGAATATCTTGCTTTGTAAGATGCACTAAATAAAAGTATAAAGATAAACATTGGAAATCTTAATGAGGCTGCACCATTTTCAATTAACTATTTTCTTATACTAATGAATGGAGAATAAATTTTTTTTTTTTACACAATTTGTTCATTACAAGTTTTTTTTGTAAGTATTCCACCTGCTTCAACCTATCATCAATATTCTTCTCCAACCTCTCTTCTTTTTTTTCCAGTCTCTCCTTCTCTTCCTTGTCCTCTCGATCAAGTCCTTTCCTATCTTTCCTCAACTTCTTCAGCAATTTTCCATCCTCTTCCCCCTCTTGGAACTCCTTCAACTCCTTTACCGCCTCATCCAGTCTCGTTTTTGCATCCTTTGATGCGTTTTTGATTTCTTCAAGAGTTGACATTTTTTAAAATTAGAAAAAAGATAAATGAATTTTAAAAAAAAAATTTTTTTTTATTGATTTAGATCGTAATTGTTGTGATTTATAATATTAAAATATTTGGACACCAGAAAAGTACAGGGTACAGGAAATTTTGTTGATCCCTGTACCCTGTACTTTTCAAGATTTACTCACTAAACCTAGAAAGGCACGGGTAAGTGGTACAGGTGACTTGCAAAAAATCTGAAAAGATACAGGAAAATTTTTGGTACAGGTATGGCGCAGATATGGAACAGGTGACCTGTACCCTGTACCTTTCGAGGTTCGCTCAATAAACCTTGAAAAGTACAGGGTACAGGAATTTTTGTACCTATCCTTTTTTGGATTTTTTTTGAAAAATCTAGAGAAGTACAGGTTATATTAAATACAAATGTCCGATTAAAATAATTAATTATACATCAAGTTATAAAGAAAACATAAGCTGAGATGAATGATTAAAAGAATTAATAATTATGTCAAAAAACTGATGGTTCAAACATTTATGATGAAAAACTGACCATTCAAAACTGTATTTTCTGCAACTTCGAATTTCCACCCAAGTTCCTTATATGTGAATGATGAATTCCTTTCATGAAATTCATGAAGCTGTTTTTTCTTACCTCAAGTCAAAAGTTTTCTTTTTTGTTTTATTGATGACATTTTTATTTTTATTAAATATTCAGCAAATAATTGAAGTAAAGAAATACTGAGATCAAATAAATCATTCAATTGAAAGAACCGTTTTTATTAATTAATCATCTGATTTTTTTTACAAATAATTTATTAAAAAGAAAAAATTACATTTCTTCTACTAAATTACATTAAAATTGTTTGAATCATCAGTTTTTTTCCAACATAATTGAAAAAGGTGGTACAGGAAATTTGTTATAAACAAGCTTATAACTGAGAACACAATGTGAGCTTTTGCTTTTCGTGTCACAAAACACACATACCGTGCTACGCGAAAATAAAAATTCAATTAAGTTGGGTTTTGCATCTTCTTCATCGCAAAGAGCAAAAAATGACATCACTCAGGCCAAGACTAATCTATTTTATTGAATTCGAAACATATAAATAGGACAGCCATCCCAAGCTTTTTTTTATTTTTTTTGTAGAGAAATTCCTCTCAGGCCATTTCAGCACATGGAACTCAACCTTCTAACATTCAGCCACATGAAATAATTGTTTGTTATTATTATACAACATTATTACAGGAGAGACCATTCTTGTAACACAAAATTTTAACCCATGCAATTGTTGATTGATCGACCAATTAAAATCATGAATGTAAAAATAAAACATTTAATGTGGGTTTGATTCATTTTGTCAACAATTACTTCATGAACAATTGTTTCATTAACAAATAGTTTGAATTTAAGAAGTTGGGAGCAACCATTTGAAATAGTCTAATAAATTAAATTGTACTACTCGAAAATGTATTTAAAGGGTTGTTTTTTTTTGACTTGGTTGAAGAATAACTCTCTTCCTAACTCTTCTCTTGACAATATCTCTTGATATAATCAAAATAACCTTAATATAACAAATGTCAAAATGATTGTAAATGCAACCAATTTAAGATATACGATCAAGAGGAAACATGAATGATGAATGAAAAAATCAAACAAACTTATTTAATAAAACAAAATTTCCAACTCAAAAAATTTTATTAACAATCTAATTATATAGATCTTGACCGATCAAACCCATCTATATAATTATTGAATAATTGATAATAATAAAACATTAATTAAATATATTTTACAAACAGCTTCATAGATCTCAACTTTAAGACTTACTTTGATCAAATCCACCTATAATAATAAATGGTCATTTTGGAAACTTGATTTGCAAATAGATCTTGACTTTAACATTTACTTCTACCAAGCCTGCCTATATAATTATTTGAATAATTGATAAAGTGAAAATTACACCCTGAGTATATCTGTTATTGTTGTTTAAAAATCCTTTTTTGTTTTTTTAAATGCATCATTAAAAAATCA